ATGAACTTCTGCAAAAACAAACAAAACTTGTTTCCCTTGGGAACAGTCACAAACACATGTTTCTTCCTTCTCAACTGCCACTCAATCACATTACAACATAGCAACCAAATAGAAGCTCTGTTCTGTTTGGGAGAAGGGTTGTTGATCACTATACAGTGGGGCTGCAATCTCTCCAGTTGCTGCCAAATACCATCTTGACCCTTCATAGTGGAAAAGTTGTATCCTGCCTTGAAATCCATAGGAGATGCAACTTTAACACCATTCTTTGAAAGGAACCAAGATAATCCACTGTTTCCATGAAGTAACTCAACAACATCAGGATGATCATCATTACAGAAGAAAAAGGACTGTTCTCCAAATTCGGCATCAACATACAGTTCGTGATCTTCACGTAAGTTCTCCGGATTCTCATCGTCTAATGCCGGAATGGAAACATCATGCCACTCATCGTGATCACGTCTAACCTTCGACTGATTCACACGTACCACTGCCTTACCAGTGTTGGCTTGGACCATAGCTCCTTCTTGTCCAAGTACTGTGGCGCGAACCCAACGTCCTTTATCCTTGAACTTTGATGAATCCTGAGTCCAAATAAAAACCTTCTCTCCTTGGAAATAAGGACCGTCGCTTGGCATAGTCCTTCTTGCAAGATCTGCTCGAAGGTCCTGAGCTTGTCGTGCTTCTTGATGAGCTCTCAAAGCCACACGTTGTAGTTCCAAATTTGTACGATCTTGTGCGGCGGCATTAGCTGACAATTGCTCAGGGCTTGCGGTCTCAAGGTCAAAAAGATCTGGTGGACGTCTTCCAGTTGCTATCTCTATTGGTGAATATCCACTGATAGTCAACTGACAATTTCTTGCCCAAACTACCTTCTTGACCACTTCTCTGACCGTAACACCACGAAAACGTGGGTCATCCAGATCTACCTTCATAACATGCCACATACGTTTAAACAAACGTACAGCTGTCTCTGCTCGGTTCGGCCAAGGAGTTCTTGGCCCACAAGGACATTGTTGTATACCATGGAACCTGTAGTATTCAACAAAAGCATCTGTGAAAAAGGCTTCGTCTCCTACGATGGCCTTCGGAACACAATTGTTCTCATCAGACCACTGCCTCAACGCTTGGATGGTGGTTTGATCTATGAGGTCTTTCTGTGCCGTAGCCCAGAGAAGATTTGTGGCACCATCAAGAACAAGTAGAATGATATACTTGTTCTTGTGAAGTTCAACCTCACAGTGATCAGCAAAAACAACATCACCAAAACATGAAGCTCTAATACCGGAGACTCTGGCTCGTGGCGGAGGTGCCACTGAAGTGTTACAAACACGGCAGTTCCTGACAACTGATTCATACTTCTCTAAAACAGAGTCAGGAAGCTTCAACATAGAAACACGTCTACGAAACTGAGTAGGACTCATATGGTAGTGCTTCACATGAAGCTTATAAAGCTCTACCTTGTCCTCCAGTCTCTGTAACATCTTCCTATATGCCGGTGTCATTGCAACAACTTCACTACCAGGTAATGGGATTGAAATCCGCCTAGGCTCAAGAGCGCCATCACCTGGTTCAAGTGGTTCATGTTTATCACTTGATGGTCCTTTTGATGCTTTAGGAATTTCTACAAGTTCACCTTCTGGCCTCTCAGGTGGTTCTGAAGGAGCATACTCCTCAAGATCATCACCCTTTAAATCATTCTGAGGCTCAGATGGTTTTGACTTGTGTCCTTTCCAAAATGGATCAAAACCCTTGGAAGTATACCGGAACTTTGGCGGCACGGGCTTTTCCGCGGCACTGGATGGTGCACCTTCCTTCTCTGACGAGAAGCCTGGTTCCCTGTCCTTTGCAATGGGAACCTTCTCTGAGGAGGAGCGCACCACTGCATCGGGATCACCAATGCCACGGTGCTCAATGCCAGCCTTCCTGATCTTTAGATCTGGAATTTTGGCATCTGGCTTAAATTTAAAAATTGTTCTACCACGCCATTCATAGCCAAGTTGTAGGTCCTTCCATTTTGCCTTGCGCCAATCATCTGTCTTCTTGATTTCTTCTCCTCCTGCTTTCTTCTTGATGATTGTCAGTCGCAAGTCTTCCAGCAAGTCAGTGTCTACAGGACAGGACTTAGTTGCTGGGAAAAGAATTTTCCTGTAATCCTTGTGGTGACGTATCAGTTCTCTCTTGTGAACATCTACTTCCCAGAAATCAACCACAGGATATGCATGCTCAGCTTCACCTTCATCACTATTGTGTTCAACAGAAATATGGCCATATTCATAGTGAGTGAGGTGAGAGTAAAAACTCTTCTCACGCTGAGTCTGCCAACGCACGTCAGACAGATACCATGCAATATCTTGGAAGTCCAACACAAGATGAGTACTGGCTGCAACCTTCAACTCCAAAAATTTGATACCAAGAGGCACCGATGTCAGATAAGCATGTTGAGGTGTCAGCCTGAGTTCAAAGCCTAAGTTCCTCATCTGTGGCAAGCTCATAAGCAAAGGGACTTCTCCTTCTTCCACTATGTCGAACTCTGTATGGTGGATCGTCCATGCACGATCATACATATAAATCACCAGTTTCTGAGAGCAAGTAGCCTTCTGGGAATTGGCAAAGTAAAACTTGCTCTTGGTAGACTCGAAAGAGTACCATAATCCACAGTCTGGGTGATTGTCGACATAGTTGCAAAAATGGTCGACTGCTCGCCTTGATCCCATAGCTCTAGTGCATCCAATGTCCAGGATTGCAATAGTTGGCGGGAAGCGATTCTCAGTCAAAAATGAAATAGCCTGCATCTCCTTCACTTCTTCCTCAGCGCTCATAAGCGCAAAGCCATCAGCGCTCATAAGCGCAAAGCCATCAGGAGCCTTCGTGAGCATCTCCTTTGACAAAGAGTACCTCACAGGGGCACTCATGTCATCGAAGATCGTCTCACCATTGTTGACCACGCAGTCAGCTTCATCTTGGCATGAGGTCATCATGCCTGACAGCAAGTCCACCTCACTGTCATGGACTTCAGCTGCTGCTGTCACACAATGTGCAAAGAAACCTTGTTGACCTCCTGATGCTTGTGAAGTTCTTGAAGGTGCAGGTAAAGAACGTGGCTGTTGTTGATTTGCATAGTTTGCATCTTGTTTGCCATCTCCTTTATCTTTTCCTTTTCCTTTCTTTCCTTTTCTCTTGCCTTTTCCTTTTCCTTTGTGGGAAAACCATGCTTCTTCAAGCTGTTGCCAGAAGTCATTGGCATCATCATATTCTCCTTGAAGATAGTCATTCATATCCTCGGCAAGAATGGCATCATATGCTACTTGGTTTGACTCCCAAGTGTCCTCATAAGGATTCTCTTCAAAGTACTCTTCTGGATATGTTGTCTGTTGCTCATCAGCAAAATGGCCTTTACCTCGTCTCTTTCCTTTTCCTTTTCCACGAGGTCTGAAGAATCTACGGCCTGATCTTCCTTTTCCTTTTCCTTTTCTTCTACCTTTTCCTTTGCCTTTTCTGGCTCTTCTTCCTTGGAATCTCCTTTGGAACCATGAGAAGTTTTGATCATCATATACCCAAAAGACATCGTCCAGGGCATCTAAAAATCCTTCTGTTCCATCTTCTTCATCTTCGGCCCAATAGCCAAATGTACCATCGAGTTCTCCTTCGTCTAGTACGAGAAATGATCTTCTACCTCCAGCACCTGTCGGCTGCATCAATGGATTGTCTACTGAAGTCTTTGTCGTGCAGAACATCTCGATGAACACTGTCCTCAACTCTGTTGTGGTGTATTGCTGCAGGTACCTGCCACGATGAGTCATCAAAGAAGTCAAAGTGTTTCGCTGGTCCTGAGACAAATCTGCAAGTGACAGCATGAGTAAGGCAATGAGATTCTCTCCTAAAGGAAAAATCATTCTGATGAAGAATTCTCATATTGCCATTGACATTCTGCATGATTTCCTGAATCCTTTCTGCCGTTGGTGCTACTCCAGTCAACGCTGCATCTGCCTGCATCTGAGCAAGGACTTGGGGATGTGCTTGAGTGACTGGTTCTAACATGTCCATCCAACTGCTCATAAGCCTTTGGAGTAAAATCTGGAATCTTGTCATCCATTTCATCATGTCAGCTGATCCTCGATTGAATCGCACGAATTGCATAAACCTGTATAGGAATACATTGGTTGATCCTTTCACGAAATATGGTCGTAGTACTCGTTTGAAGTAATCTACTCCTGCTCCTGGTGGCTCATTAGCCTTCAATGAATCTCTGTCTAATACACGTTTGTATACTGCTGCTTCTCCTTCTAATCTGTTTCTCAAAGCTGGTCCTCTCTTCTCATCTTCCAGCTCGGTGATATCACACCAATCGTCTATGGCATCCTCATAGGAAAACCATGAAGTCTTTCCATCATAAGATGGGGGCACCTTTGTAGTGACCTGTGTTGTCATTGCTATTGCTGCTGGTTCTCTTCTCACATGCCTATTCACGTAGGCTGCTGGCTCATAAGCCACATCCGCATCAGGCTCTTCCCAGTCGTCAATCCAATCCATGGCCGTTTGCCCACAAGCAATTCTATGCCTAGGAAAGGAGCTCACCTGGGTCTTCCAGGATCACTGCTCCGCTACCACTGAAAGAGTGACTAGGGCGTACACGGTAGAGGTGCAGACCGCTAGTGTCTTTTATGCGCAGAGTCTTATCCTCTTGCTCTTTAGGTCCATTGACCCTCTCTTGAGCCTTGAAGCAGTCAAGCATGCACACACTATATCAGCTGTTGGAGTGGAACCCTGTACAGGTAGGCTCTACTTTTCAGGGGGGGGGGGTCTGAATTGAGCGATCAATTATTAGACCCGGACGTCCCAACACTTGCTTCGCAAGACAAACTCAAGGTATCCCCTAAAGGGCTACCTTTCGTGATAATTGTTTTGATGTTTAAAACTGCCCCTTCTCCCCTGATCGTCAGTGAAAAGCACAGGGGTGAGTTTCACACGCTTGTTGAACCATCAGTTGGCGTCCAAGGATCCTCCGTGATAAAAGGCCAGCATGCAGTAGGCTTTCATCAAACGACCTGAGTGTTGACACTCTAGTCCTGAAGACTCTCCTAACCTCTCTTTTGTATAACACTGCACAGTTATCCAAACATGTAAGGTGTGAACGTCAGAATTGTGGTTAACCAACCAACTGAAACTATCTGAAACTTGGATTTTGGGCTGAAACGTGTACAAGCGTGGCTACCGATGCAAAAAGCAGTGGCAGCTGGCAGTCTAGGTTCTTGTGGAAGAAACTAAAGCAACAGGAGTCACATGGAAAGGGGTGGATTTTAGTGCCATCCGGTGAGTGGATGTGACAGGTGCACCCGACTCCCTCCAAGTTCGTTACCCCCAAAAGATACCAAGCATCCTGAGTTCCCTCTCCTGGGTAGGGAACCAGCCGTCCTATAGGTCTACCGGGCATGGTATCCGAAAACGGTTGGTCCTGGCTAGCCAGGATGGTGACCTCCGAAATGATTTCGGGGATTGAAACCCGCTGGGATCAGTTGTCGAATCCTGTGCCCATTCTCATTCGGAGATGAGTCTACCCATGCATACACGATCTTACATGCTACGGTTCTTGGAGGGATGTGAACCTGAGCCCAAAATGGTTCACTTTCCTTTAAATTTTGTCCTTCCTTCCTTCCTTCCTTCCTTCCTTACTTCCGCTGTTAAATCCCCATACTGGCTTTGCTTCTGACTACTGATCCCCAGTCGGGACCAAACGTCCGCACATACCATCCAAGCATTGGCACCAAACGAACACCTGCTCGTCCAACTCGTCCGTCAAGTCCCGTGCAACCGGACCGGACCGACCTGTGCCAGGCGTTTTTTCGGACCAGCGACAGGAGGACTTCTGCGCGCCCGTTTGGGTTTGCAGTTGAAAAAGCTGTCCGAAGAAGTAGTAGATGAAGCTGCCTGAACTGGGAGGACTGGAAGAAGGTCCAGGTCGTTTCGGAAAGGACCTTCTTAGGACCACTCGATTGGATGGGACACGAGGGCATTTTTCGAGCAGGGGAGTATATATATATATATATGATCGAGGGTCCTTTAGGTATCATTTCGTAAAAAGAAACAAACATTAATGATTTAATTTTCAATTCAAATATTTATTGCAAAAAGCATTTGTAAATTAAAACATGGATAGATTTTGATGTTTTATTTTATTTTTTAAAACATATTTTTCAAATTGTAAAAATTAAAAGATTTCTTTTTGTTTGTGGATTTGGCTATTTTAAAAATTAAAACAAATAAATCAAATAAATAAATTAAAACGATGTCTATTTATTTTTTAATTTTTGTATTTTTTTAAAATTTACAAAAGGCTTTTTAATTTAACAGAATAAATAGATGTTTTTTATTTTATCTATTTTTTTTAATTTTTCAAATTGTAAAGTAGATATATTTAAAAATTAATAGATTTCTTTTTGTTTGTGGATTTGGCTATTAAAAAAATTAAAAAAAATAAATTAAAGTAATTAAATAAATTAAATCGACGTGTATTTACGTAGATTTTGATTTATGTTTTTAATTTTAGTTATTCTTTTTGAATTTACAAAAGGCTTTTGTAAATTAAACAATGGATAGATTTTGATTTATTTTTTTGATTTTGTTTATGTTTTTTAATTTACAAAAGGCATCTGTAAATTAAAAAAATAAATCGATGTTGATTTATTTTTCAAATTTTGTTTATTTTTTTTCTTTATTTAATTTTGAAAAAGTTCTATGTACAATAAAGCTTTACTACTATATAAATGCAGAAATCAGTAGTTTCCACAAGACCCCCGATCAAATAGATGTTGTTTGACGTAGTTGTGGGGGAGTTCCAGGGCCAAACACAACAGTTAAGAATGCGATTTGAATGCGTTTCTATGGATCACATGAATGATTGGAAGGATCGGGGCCTCTACTGGTGTTGAAACACGGAAGAAGATGTGATCCTGTAATCCTATTGAGCGAGTCCGATATTCTCTCCATTTTCAGATATGTTAGTAGGGGAAGACCAAGGGGGGATGTTCACCTGACCACCCTTCCCCCATCTCCCCCCACACCATCTTTTCCATCATCCCCACTCCCCACCCATCCTATGCTTCCTACTCTCAATATGTATTCTCCACTTACATTTTCTCACCTTGCACGCACATACCTCACACCACATCTCAATCAAACTATATTCCCGATCATATTAGTTGTTCTTCTCCATATTCTCCTCTCTCCAAACTCTATCAATCTCCTTCTTCTTCTCAACATTCCTCCCCACCCACCTTTTCCATCTGTCTAAGCACACATTACAAGTCGCATTCTTTTCATTAAACATTCCCAATTCCTTATTACATCCACACTGTCCACACCTTCTCTTCTCCACTTCCTCACCTCCACCCTGAGCATTCTCAATATGCGTATTTGTTTTCTCATGCTTCCCCCATCCACTTTTCCTCACATTGCACTCACACACCTGACAATACACATTCTCAAACTTATCACCTTTCATCTCCTTAGTACCTATTGCTACTATCCCTTTAAGTATTGGTCAGGTGAACATCCCCCATTGGTCTCTCATAGAAAAAATTAGAATAGTAAATATCTAGTTTATAGCATTATATAAATATTTATCTGATCAACTCTTCTGTGATTATGTATAATTCCTTCTGATTAAACAATGTATAGTTTTCAAGTTTTCAGGCCATGTTTCCTTCCTATTGCTAGGTGCCCTTTGTGCTGTTTCCCTATGCCTATTCCCTTCCATTTGTACGCAGTTCTTTTTACATAATGGTTTAGGTGTCCAAGTCTTTATATTTGTCCAAAGTCTGGTGCGTTTTCCGTATGCCATTCCATCTTTACAATAATCAACATCAAAAAACACAGTTTTTCATAAACTCTTGCTCAGTCAAAAGTCCGGTCTGGGGGGTTTTCAACGAACACATTTGGATCAAAATAGTTTATTATTGCAATAGCTTTCTTCACTGTTTCATTTGCTTCATCAATTTTTCTAGTGCCTGTTTGTTTTGCTATGATGTATTCAGTGCAAGGCGGGGATGACCAAGTAACATCAAAGTCGTTGTCAAATTTATTATAATCAAATTTCAAAATATCCTCATTGATACTAGCATTTTTAAGATCAAGTGATATAATAGTATAACCAAGTTCTTTAGCAATTCTTCCAACACTACCTGTGCGTGAACATATATAGTTATTATAATTTCATAATAATATGTTGTCATAGAAAATATATTATCATGAGTATGTTTCAGTGTCTTCATCATAATCAATTTTGTAATATTGTATGGTGGTCTCTTTAGGTTGTTTTATTATTATTGAATTCAACATTTCTAAATACTGCTTCCTTTTAGTTTCAAAGTCCCCTACTGGTCTACCTATGCTTTTCTTTTCAGATGCTTCTCCATTTTCCTGAAATCATTTTTTCTCATTAGTCTTTTCATCAATGGTTTTTAACAACTGTAAGATCAATTTAAGCCTATTATTATATCTGTTCATTTTCTTTATCAGCTCATCAATTTTATCAGTATTCTCTAAAGTAATAGATCCACCATCATCTTTTGAATCTTTCATAGTCTTATCTTATCACTCTTGCTGATTTTAAAGCTATATGGATTACACTTACACTTTTTGCCTTTAGTGTTGATTTCAATTTCATTTCTCAGTTGTAGTTTTCCCTGGCATAAAGGACAGTCAAAGGTAATGAATTTGCTTGTTAGTTTTTGTTCTTCATCTAGTTTTATTGTTGTTGGTTCTTCATCTGATAGTTCAAACTCTTCGGGGATTTGTGTTTTATTCATCTTTGTTTTTTTGTCTTTTTTGGTGGCATGTATATTACATTTTAGATAAGTAATTATCAATTTTGACATTTCCAGTGAGTATTTACAACACTGCTTAAGTTTATTATCTTTAACAACTGGATATTTAGCACTATCATTTTTTCCATATCATCTCTTCCTGTTATATAAGCATCATGTTCAGATAGCGTCATAATATATAACTATAATTAGATAATGCTTTAACACCATCTAATTATGTAGTGCTTGGGAGAACACTAAAAACGAATTCAACTGTAAGGGCAAAAAATCCATTGCTGAAAAGCAAACTAATTACCGACTTATGCGGATTAGCGTAGCCTCACCTACCGCACTCTGTCCATGGGAGATCTGCTAATATTTAATAATATTTTCTACGTAATTTTATTAATAGATGAATAATAACACCGCACCACATATTCAACCTACCAAAGAAATCAATTATGAATTCACTCAATCAAAATATGCTGTTGCCTCTAAAGTGCCCTTTAGATCAATCATAACCGGTCCGTCTGGTAGTAGCAAATCAGTGCTACTAACAAACATGAATATGGACATCTACAAGGAAGTTTTTCAAGGGTGTATATCTGGTCACCTTCAATAAATGTTGATAGCATCTGGTTGCCAGTCAAGAAATACATAAAGGAAGAAATGAAAGTGAACACTGGTAAAGAGCAGGTTTTGTTTGAAGACTTTCACAGTGAAGATTTAATGAAAGTCATTGAAACACAACATAGAATAACTGAATACAGTAAAGAGCATAAATTAAAATCAACAACAATCCTAATAGTCTTGGATGATATAGCAGATGATCCCAAAATAGCAGGATATTCAAAAATATGTGATTCCCTTTATGTAAGAGGTAGACACAATGGTATTAGTGTTATAACATCTGTTCACAAATTTAATGCACTGAACACACTGATAAGAGTTAATGCCACACACCTATTCTTCTACAAGGTCAGCAACTTTAAAGAAATAGAACTGTTTCCAAAAGAACTATCAACAATACCTAGAAGAAACAATATCCAAGAAAGTAAGCAGGTCTTATATAAACTTTATGAAATAGCCACTGAACAGCCACGTATGTTTTTAGATACTAATCTTCTGGAAAAGGATAGGAACAGGATGTTTATGATCATTTTTTCACACTATTTGCAAATTGATGATTGATAATGTTAACTATGTTAATATAATCAATCTTTATAACAATTATAGCAGGTAGTTTATACATAATCCTATTCGATTTCAGGGTGTGAGCAGCTGGGAAGGTTCGTCAAGGGTACACATTCTATCACGAGCGAAATGAACCCCAAAGGTCCCTACCACATATATATATATATATATCTAGAAACATGGACGGTCTCAAAGCATGTGGCGAAGACACCAGGTTCTGTCCTGCTATGTCTCAAGTTTTCATGTATGTTCTGAACAAGGCTTTCCTGGATGTGATCCCGACCAGCATGGTGGTGGTACTTAAAAAGAAGTGATCAAACCATGCACCATCTTCAGTGTCTTCCCGAAAACGACTGCAGCATGGATTCTCCGTCCGGAACCCGCTTTCACCGGTCAGGCGCCTGAGGCCGTATCCACCATCAGAAACCAATACACCGCCAGGACCACAAAGCCCATCCTGAGGTGTTTGTGGCCAGTCAAAGGTCATGGTGTGTGGCTGTGGCCTGTTTAGTCACTGTCACCTGATCAAAAGGCGTGTCTTTTTTGTAAAACACAGGCCTCAGATGTGTGGTGTTAGAATGTGTTTTTCTCACCATACGTGATGTGTTTTTTCTGCACAGCGGTGATGGCCTTCGTGTTGCCGCATCGATGGGGAAGCAACCCAAAAAACTGACTGCTGGCGGTACAAACCGAAAGGATTGTACAACACGTCTATGTATGCTTCCAATAGTATATTGTGTTGATACAATGCTGGGTCTGCACAATGAATCCTTCTTGCTGGCCTTGTCCCACTTTCTCTCAAACAAAAACACACTAGGGCCCAACCATCAAAAGGTCAATGGCAAGAACCCCGCAACTGAATCAACCTAGTTATATGTTAAATGTGTATTCATGTTCTTAATATATGTTCTATTAAATCTGTTCTTATAATATGGCATAACACCACCATGTTAAGCCGCATCACACCCCGCTTCCAAACGCCCAAATGCTTGGGAACCGCCCGACCGCTGTGCGCGCCGACCGAGGCCCGGTGCCGAGGCACATGGCGAACTTCTCGGGGGGAAACCTCCGGTCGAGGCATCCGGACGACGGAAGCGTCCGGACGGTGGGAGGTGCCGGGTGGGGTGCCGACGAATCAGAAGAAGCGTGGCCAGGTAGAAAGACGGTTCAAAGATGGATGAGGTGGTTTTTACTTTATATGTTTCGTTCGGCTGAGAGGGATTTCATGGGTTTAAGCAACCTTGGGGGTTTAGTATGGTTTTGGTCTATTAGAAATCCCTTATGAAGCAGAGGTGCTTGCTGGGCCTGCCAAAAATAACCGATGACACTGTATCGTCAACCTTCACGACTCGACAAAAAGTTTTGGGGGTATGGCAAAGCGCTAAACCCCGTGTTCTTCCAATTCTTTCCTATCCTGTCGATTTGACTTCGTAATCCAAGTGCGCAGGATGTGTTGAGCTGGTCCAGCCATTTGTTTCTCTATACCCAGCCAATGTTCAACTAGAGTTAACTATGCACCAAATCAACGTTCTGTCGATTGGTTCGTAGCGATCCTTCAATCTCTGATTGTGCTTCTCTGAACCAACCCTCACTGCCCAAACTCCAATCATCAGAAGGCTTGAACTTGAACTCTTGAAACAAGCCCGAGGATTCACTCTCAGAGTTTGTTTCAACTTTCAAGATGCTCAAGCCCGGCAAAAAGCATCACTTCAAACATCATCAACATCTTCTTCTCCCTCCCCCTGAAGAAACACGGAACCCAAACTATGATGAAAATTGTTCAAACGCGCAGGGATAAAATACCTATATATTCAAAGCACACACACTCTGACATGGGTTTTCAGTTACACTCAATTTCCCGATGGGAAGAAAGGCGAAGAACCGCAAGGTGGAAAAGTCGGCGCAAATGTATTGTTGAACATTGTTTCCAAGTGGCCTCAGAATCGATCTGCACAGGTGATGCGGCGACGAGCTCAGCTGCGGGGAAAAGGTTTATGGGAGGAAACATGTAACCACCATGAATCAAATAAGGCGGATTGGAACAGCTTGTGCAAGAGCTTCGTAGCAGGTACATGAGAGTGATCAGCTCTCACTTCCCTCGACACATCATAGCTTCGTTGCGTCAGGTAGATGTGTCGAGCCTGACGCCCCTGCTTTGGAAAATGGTGGTGACGGTAACGGTGGCAGTGAACCCTTTGGCACAGGGGGTGACACACACACGGCGCCGCTTCGCAGCGCGCATGTGAAAAACCTAAATAGTCACCTAAAAAGCCTTAGAAACAAAAGAAAAGAAAGACAGAAAGAGCAGCGCTAAGAGGGCAAGAAAGAAAGGTAGGTGTAGGAAAAATGAATACTTAGCCCTTGACTGGGGTAGGGAAACGAGCCTCAAGAACAACCTAAAAAGCCTGAGAGAAAGCCCAAGAAACGACCGAAAGCGTAAGAAGGAAAGCGGGGGGCAGGGAAGTGTATGTACATGTGTGTGTGCCCGTGTGTGTGTATGAATACTTAGCCCTCTAGAGTTACTGATTACTTAGCAGAAATGAATTACGTGCAATAGCTAGGGAGCGGGACTTTAGTCTTAGACCGCCCGGGTAGGAAAGACTAGAAAAGGAACAACACAGGGAAAGGCACCGACACACAAGTGTGTCGAGTACCATTTCCCTATGTTGCCCTAATTAGGTAGGGAGTAGAGCTCAGCTGGGGGGGGTTGGGAAACCTGCCTCATTGGGGGTGGAGTGCCGTTTTATAGCCCGGCGGCTGACCAAGTAATCCCGTTTTTTGGCCCGGCGGCCGTTGAGGCAGTTAATTCGGTGGAAGTGGAGGTGAATTCCAGTGAAATTCCGGTGAGCGGTGGTGAGTTCCGTTAATGATTTCCCAATGAAACGGCGCCTCCTTACGGGGGATCACACTCAGCACCCGAGTGGGACGGCTGAGCGAGACACACTCTGACATGGGTTTTCAGTTACACTCAATTTCCCGATGGGAAGAAAGGCGAAGAACCGCAAGGTGGAAAAGTCGGCGCAAATGTATTGTTGAACATTGTTTCCAAGTGGCCTCAGAATCGATCTGCACAGGTGATGCGGCGACGAGCTCAGCTGCGGGGAAAAGGTTTATGGGAGGAAACATGTAACCACCATGAATCAAATAAGGCGGATTGGAACAGCTTGTGCAAGAGCTTCGTAGCAGGTACATGAGAGTGATCAGCTCTCACTTCCCTCGACACATCATAGCTTCGTTGCGTCAGGTAGATGTGTCGAGCCTGACGCCCCTGCTTTGGAAAATGGTGGTGACGGTAACGGTGGCAGTGAACCCTTTGGCACAGGGGGTGACACACACACACACACCTAAATCTCTGCGATGCCAGCTGATCCAATCCCACCCTATCCAACTACCCGACCGTATTTGTGGCATTTGTGGCGTTTGATGTGTGAACTCACTTTGCTTGTCACCTGTGAACTCATGTTTTCGGGAAGCTATACCCAAACACCGAAATGCAGCCGTAGAAAGCACCACACCACGGTCTGAACCAAATGACTGTATGTCCATGTATTTCCGTAACACCAAGTCACAGAAGAGTCACACGGTTCCTGTCACATCACACCACTACGGCACATCAGGTGAAGAAGACACGTGAAGGTTTACTCTCACCAGGTGACCGACATGCAACACCCCCATTGGAGCGCCACCGTCATGGTCGGTCCAGGCACGAGATGCTGAAGCTCCACGGATCATCTGCGCCGTAGTGGTTATGGGTGGCAAGGGACACCTGGAGGACAACGGACTTCTGGACATCGAGCATATCGTTCTTTCTCTTTACCCCAAGACTCGCATGGGTGGCACACATTTGTCATGCAAATTTGAGTAGTCTTGGTGTAGTGAAGGTGCGTTCCTGACCAATATCTCCCCTCCAAAACACGCGGAATTCGCCCCAAAATGCCCCCAAATCCCCTGAAAACCGCTGCTCCCACACCCAAACAGAAACCACTGACTCACGCCGGGTCGCGGAGTGATGCAGCTCGGAACTGAAGAGGAGCAACACCACCGCGCCGCACCACACCAACTGAGGGTCCGAAGAATCGTCCAACGTCACGCGCCGATTTTGTGTTTATTTGTTTGTTAAGACATGCACATCATGAAGCAAGGTACGGATCAAAAAAAGAGGTACAAAGGTATACTGTTCTTATCTGTCCTGGATTTTTTGAACGCTCCTTGTTGTTTCAAGGTACGGTCCAAATGGGATGTTCGATGATGTTTGCTGCAGTTGGCAACACGAAGGTACCGTTTCTCTTCGATCCGTCCCACCGTCCCACCGAGGGCCGAAGATGGATGGAGGACCGGTGGTGTGAGGATCGGTGCCAGAAGCTAACTCTATCTCCCAAACACTCCATGGGACTGCCATATATATGCCTACATTGGGGTGGTTTGAGGGGTCAATGTAGGCATATATGGCAGTCCCATGGAGTGTCTGGGTCTATACATCATTATACATCCAGGTGATTCTTGTGACTTCAAAAAGCTGGACATCCACCGCGATGGCGTCACCATCTTTCGAATGCCACACCCCAACGGAAAAACCCACGGGCTTGGCATTTTCACGTGGCGGCATTTTCACGTGCCCCGTGACCCACCCAACAGAAACCGATGCGGCCACTCCCCGATGACTCATTCCCTGTTTCAGTGCCAAGTCCGAAGCGTCTGACACGCAGCCAAAATAATCCTGAAAACATCTGAATTCCATTGCATTTGCATTAGCACCTATCGGTCTCGAACGTTTTGAAGGGTATTGTCTGACTTTTATGATGAGTCTGTTTTGCCTTTTGGGTTTCTTTTTGCCAGCATTTTGAACGCATGCCAGATGATGTTGCCGCAACGCTCTTATGCAGCCGTAAGCATCGCAAGCCCCCGGCATCCCCATTCATCCCAGCCCAAGCGGCCAAATACAGGCGGAACGCTGAGGTCCAAAGCGGCAAAAGACCTCGGTGGAATTCGGTTTTCAAGCCACCAAAAGGTCTCAAAGGAACGGAGAGTCGAAAGGGAATGTGAAACCACAGGGAAAGCAGCAGTGAGTCACTTGTTGACATTTGGACAGGATGAGACAAAGGTACTGCACAATTTGACGAACTCACCAGATATGTTTAGTTAAAAACATCCTCGTCACAATTTTGGTCAATAAACCACATGATCTGTGTATGACTTGGTGCCTGTCCTTCCACTTTCCAGTGCCACCACTTCGACGATTCGCTTCTCGCTTCAGAAAAGGCGCACGCCACGTTTGCGCGTCGCGACGCGACGCAATTTCGGTGGATGAAAAGCGGCTGAGGTTAGGAGTTGACACAATGCATCTACAGCCATCTTCCAGAATCCTGAGACCAGCAGAGCTAATGCGATGCGAGCTCGTGCGATGCGCACAGTCTGAGGCTTTTTTGTTGGAGAAGGGATGCGTCTTGGAATAGGGAGACCTTCCAACTCAATGAAGTTTATGTATAAAATAGAAAGTTATAAAACGTTTATAGTTACCGTCCCTAACGGGTGTCCAAATATAGCTCCTTAGAGGTTAAGGGATGTCAATTAACCACCCCTTAGAGGGCCCTGGTATATATGTTCCAGCTTCTTCAAAGTGGGGGAGTCCTGCCCAGCGACCTTGTACAGCCCCCTTGTGACTGAGATATCAAGGTTGGTCACTTTTAAGAAGCAGGTTCCCTTTCTTGACACAGCAACCAACCTCAAGCACCATTGTCGATTGACCCTTTAATTAAACTTTCCTCTCCGAGCTCAAAGGGAGGTGCATTCTATGTCGGACGCTGTGCCTATAACTGAACGTACTAAACCCGCTGTGTCGGGGCAGAACGAACCGAAGAATCTGTTTAAAGCCTTCAGTGGAAAAGGGCGGACCGCCATCTTCAGGAACTTCTCATCCCTATCTACAGTATCCCCCATGATCCGCCATGCTCCCTTGATCCTCGATCCATCGGAATCCATCCTCTCTTCGGCCCTCCTCGCTCTCGAATTCGCTCCCAGGAACAGGACGCCCCGGTCGATGCGATCACGGATGTATTGGATCTGACAGAAGAGGAGAATGAAGACCGCTCCAGAACCCGCAGCATTCACCAGATCCACCTGAGAATGACAACACCAACGCGAGCTTCTCACGCCGTGGTTCTTTTGGGTTGCTACGTGCCAATGGAGTGCATCGCTTTCTCGGTGCAGGAGTTTGGAATGGCTGAAGATCATGAGGCTGTGACCAGATTGAGCTGCCTTTCAGCCCAGAAAAGGAATTCTGACCAATTCCGGAGACTACGTCATCGAGCCAACCCAGTTGGAGATGTGGCCGAAGACTCGCCGAAGACTCTCAAAGGTCAACTAGCTGGAGCTGAATATGTCATGCCAAGGTGGACAGTAAGTCCCTCCTATCGGGTGGAAGCCTAAACAAAGAACTTCTCCATCCCAAAGAAGACATCAGAAGACAGGCGTTTCCCCAAATCCTTCCAAAACCTTCCACCAGGCCATGCCAGGCCGAACCATCCACCCGAAAATCCGATGTCTTCTCAGGGCGCCCAAAAACAGCCACACAGCCGGAGAGGTGGATCACCTCTCAAGGTCCTCGGAACGCAGCCCGTCCCTTCGCCGTCCCGTGCCGTCCATTCGCTTCGCTTCGGATCCCAGATGCCCAAGATCCTTCTGGCCGGCCCACCATCTGACTCAAACTGCCGGTGCCTGGGGTGTCCGGCGGTCGTCGGGTCGGGTTGGGTCCGGTATGCGCGGGTCGGAAGCACGTCCGGGATGGGAAGGGGGTCCGGTGCCGGGAACATCCCGAGCTGTGCCGAGAAGGTCATGGAAAGCGTGAAGGGTTGGTCAAAAATGTAAACTTCTACTATTCTCCACCCAAAACATCCCAAAACTGTATGAAAATGTTGCCTCTAATATCCTCTAAATTGAGGATCACCAGAAAAAGTTCGAGAGAAAAAACACAACACAAGTCCGTCCATGTTCGATTCACCCGTGATCCATTTCAAATCTTCTCATCACCGAGGAGGGAGGTCAAGGTCCAATCGAAATGGCATGGCTAGTGGTGCCTGGTAGTTTCCCGACGCCGGATCATGTCGGGTGTGGGTTTCCACACTGCGCGAGCGGGGGAGAATCTATCTCCATGAAAAGTTAGTCATAAACCGTAAGGAACCAATGCTGATGAAGTAACTTGTGGTTATACCGGCCCAGTCCTTGCCTTATTGCGACAAGGGTGTTGGCGTTTAGAGTTTTCGGGCAAAATCCTGAGCCCTGGATGTGAATGTGTCCCATCCTCATCTTTTTAGGTGGCCCACATGCTACCAAAACGAGTGAATGCACCGTTCCGTCTCTGCCAGGACCGGTTGTCCGCGTCACCGAAGAAGGGGAACCGTCCCGGAGAGGGACACCGTCCTCCGGTCGTTTCGGTCGAACACGGCCGCTTCTCTGTTGGACCGGTGATGGGGGGAGGGGGGAGGGTGTCCAAAAAAACACATAATATACCAGGGCCCCCTTAAGGCTTTAAGGGGTGTCCAAATATAGCTCCTTAGACCCTAGAGGTTGAGGGGATGTCCATTGACCACCCCTTTGGGGGCCCTCGTAAACGGACCTCTAAAGTTCCGGAACCGACCTCTAAAGTTCTTCACCACTTCCCTCCCTCCACTTGACACCCTCCATCTCCGGTCTTCCGGTCTGGATCCAGGTCTGGATACGGTAGTTCAAAACATAGACTCCACAGATGAGGCCTGATAGGACCATGGACGTGGTCAGGGAGAACCAAACCAAGAATTGTGCGATCCTCGACAAGAGGAAGATGTAGCTCCTGAGTCCGGATGCAAGGGGCAAAGGAAGAACACCCCGTGCTCCGTGAAAGAAGCCCTGGGCATTGGGCATATCCCCATGAACCGGAAAAAAACAGTGGATGATGGTCAGGCTATGCTAGGTTGCAGACCTTCCGGACATAGCCAACCTTTGCATGTCATCCGACTTCGACAGAGACAATTCACATCAAATCACCAAAGGATGCCACTGGCGTCGATCTTCCGCTTTAGCGGCGCATTGGTGGGGCATTGGTGGGGCGTTCAACTGCGCCACTCAAAGGAAGGCTTTGAAGCATGGACACGCACCGACTCAAAAACCCTCCATGTTCCAGGATGAGGCTTCGGACACGTGACCATCTGCCGGACCCTCCAAGATCCGGCAGGCTTCTGGGCGGTCTTGGTTCTGAGTGAAGAACATTCTGCCCTGTTGAGTCTTTTCACCTCAAACGGATTGTAGTTTGAAACAACATAGCTGCACAGTAGCGCAGCCTCTTTAAAGGCAGCTTTTGAAAGTACACAGCTGTTGCATGCTGAACGGCGGCTGACCTGCTGAACGTGCCGATTCGTCGCCCAAGTGTTTTCCGGGCTTGCTCTCCCTACTGACGTGATATGTAATCCTCAAGGTTTGTGCTGGTTTGGGTCAAGGCTCGTGTACACCTTGAATCAATCAAACCATGCCTAGCATCACCACATATCAAATCATATCACAGTGTGGCTTTGGTCGCTGCTTCCAAAAATGTGTGCTTTGCCAAGCATCAGCGAGAAAAGAGCAGACAAAGTGATAGGGTACCTAGGGGCAGCTGCCATTGCTTCCAGACTAAGTTCAAGAGACATCCGCAAAAACATTCTTATAAAGGCCTTCTTGGAAAAGTGATGAAACATGTCAACAATGAAACAATTGTGTTGGACAAGGAAGGCCGATATGAAATGGAACTGATCTGGTTACTCACCTCTCAAAAGCCCTGTGGTCCCCAAATTTCCATCAACCAATTCCAATCAACCGCTCTCCGACGCCTTGCGCTCCGAATGTCTAACCCAATTTGTTTGAGGAATGATGTCGTTGATGGCATTTCGCATCATTTCACACTGTTGCACAAACCAACAGCGTCGTACGACGATGTATGGCGGTGCTGACAAATCCTGCGGTGAAGTATGGTCGCAGGATGGGTATTGCTTGAAGGCTTTGGCTCGAGGAGGGATTGGACATTGGGTGTTGGCTCGGGGTGCTGCTGTCAAGGCTCAATGCTACCAGGTACAATATGTAGAATATTGTAGAATCTCTCTTGGGTGGAGCAAAAGTGTTGGGAGGGGATGGGGATCACAAACACACATGGGGCCCATGAGGGCTGAGATAAGCCAAAACCTTGTCCATCTATCAGCCGGGCGGGAATGCCATGTCTGGGATGATGCAGCTTAACATCTTCAGCTGACCATCTCGCACGATGTTCAATGTGCCCAACCTGCCGGGTTGGCCTCCAAAGAACTCGCTGCTGTTAGCAAGTTCGTATCGTTCACACCCAAAGCGCACATTATTTTGTCACCAAATGTTGTAGCGCCGTGGCGCCAGCACAAAGGTAAATCGTGCATATCTAGTAGAGTCTGTGTTGTCTCAGTTGATAAATCATATAAAGTAGAAAACTGCATCAATCTTGTCTATACGGAGTAAGTTCCCAAAGGCCAAGGCAACAATATCTTGCTGTCATCTTACCCATGAAGAAGTATGGACTGTTGATCAATCACCGGTTTTACATCTTAACATGAAGAGAAGTTGCAGGAACAAAACTGAATTCAGCTCTAGCTGTTGGCAGTGCCAAAAACGATTGGTGTTCACCATGGTTTCATGGTTTCACCGCCCTCGAACTTTCTCCAAAGACCAGGTGACCTGATATGCTCGGCTCATTTTCTACACCCTGCCAAGCTTACCTCCGGCCCCGCCCAGGTGACGCCCTGGTTACACCATGCTGCAGTGCGATCTTCCAGTGGGCCAAGTATAAAAGCAACCGGACGTTCTGCCTCACGTCGCCAGGTCGCAGACGTTCGGGAGGCGCCCCACCCGAAGCAACCTACCTTCACACCTGGAAGGAATCAAATGGCGGTCGACATGACGGTAACGGTCAACTTGAGACAGGGAAACACGAAAGGTAGAGAGGTACCGGGATAATGGGAGGTGTATCAAGTGTTTCAACAAATGCAACATGTTGCAACTATTGTCCTTACACGATTGTTTTCCGAGTCCAAAATGGCTTTGCTTTGGATCTTGGATTTTGAATCATCTTGATCCCACCCATGAGAGAGGGTTGGAGGAAGCCATGCCGAGTAGTGCCGTGTGAACACCATCTACTGGGTTTCGTTCTATGGGGGCATTGCCAACATGTGACGCTTCTTGTCTAAACGTCTAAAAGAAACAAAACATTAAGACCATGGCACAATGATAGCACAAAACATATAAGCTTGTTTCAGGGCAAGCTCTTGTTGATTCTAATTTGTTCACAGTATATAGTATATATAGTATATATAGCTTGTCGGCTGATGATAGAAATCCCGAACTTCCGAACATCAAGCTAGATCCGATTTCGGTGCGTTTATGAACCCCCAGTGCATCAACTGAATCAGAGAAACCACAGAAACACTCCCATGGGAGGCGGAATGGCCATGAGGGAAATCTTCACCAGGTTGGCAAAGGTCTTCCGGTACGTCCGGCAGATGCAAAGACCGCGCTTCGTCCCCCGTTTCCATGGTTCTGCCTCTTGGCTTCTGCCTCCCCCCCGTCAGCCACTGGAACTGGGTGGATATGCCACGTTGCTGTAGCTACTTCAGGACCGGATCAAAATGGTTTGAATGCCAAACTCTAAGGGGAAACAAATTGATCCAGCAGAAGTCAGAAATTCCAAGGTGTCTTCTACACCGAAGCACCACACGAAACACTGAAGCACCACATTCTGCCCACCGAACGAAGCTTCCATGTTGTATCTCTGAACTGCGAAGCTTTGGACGGACAGAATCCATCGACGCCGCTCATCTGGAGGTCAAGCCCTTCCCAAAACTCTGTTGTGAACGGCAGTTGTCTTTTTTTTCCCAAATCATAGGGTTGAACAAGTAAAAGGGTACAGTATATTCAACAGTGAATGAAAGCACCGACCAGTCATTCCTTTCTTCCCCCTCTATTTTTAAGTGCTAGTCAGGTGACGGCGTGGTCAGAATGGCGGCCTCCCAGTGTTCAAAGAGCTGAGGTGCCACGTCCGGATCCTTGGAAAGCCAAAAGTCCATGGGAAACACTTGTTACTAATAGCTTCTTGTTACTACTAGTAAGGCACTTGTTACTAGTAGCTTTTTAAACATGTACATGAGATGGAGCAGAAGTCAGTGGAATCAACTTGAGATGATTGAGATAGGTGAGTGAGTTGAGTGAGTGAGTTGAGTTGAGTTGAGTTGAGTTGAGTTGAGTTGAGTTGGTGGGTGGGTGGGTGGGTGAGTGAGTGAGGATGTTCAGTTTAGAACCGAAACAAGCCAGGTGCTATATGGATGAAGTCTAGTATGAAGTCAGGCTCATCTCCGGGCTCCAAGATCATCCTCTTGAACGTTCGTTCGCCAATTCGGTGGCCTGGATGGGTTTGGACATCGCTTTTGTGGCCCTCGGACCTGCTCTCCAAGAGAATCCCAGAAGACACGTCTCCAGATCTTGCAGCACTTGCAGATCTTTTGCTGGATGAAAGGTCAATCAAATCTCTGTAGTTGGGAGTTGGGAGGCACATCATCAACTTGGTCACACCATGGAAAACACAATGTCCCTTGGAGAACCACTGGACTACAAAACATCCAGGGACAGTTTGGAGGGGCACGCATTGGCCCCATACTCTTCAATACGCAGGCATTCTGCCTCTTTCTGGTTCCACATAGGTCCACCCACCTAGTTCCACGAGTAGACCCCGCCCCCACCCGGCAACCGTCACCGACCGAGCATCAGGGCGGCACACGAGGTCTGCGGCGGGCCAGGACGGGTAGTCCTCGACCTGGCCGCGGGGTGGACCGTGGAGTGCGTCCTCGTCCCCGAGCAGAAGAGGTGATCTGCCGGTGATCTCCAGGTATGTCATGGCATGTCCCCTGCGTCATCCAAAAGACACAGGTGTCCAGGGCGATTCGGTGATTGCTTGGGTGAAAACGAACTTCATTGGGGCAGACTCTTCCGGCCCGGCGTTGGCTTTGTTCCGCAGTGCCCCTGTGGTCTGGTCGGACCCACTTTGGAGCTTAGCAGAACTGATGGGCAGGGGCGTATAGAATTATATGTTTAATTTAGTATTTTTAAGTCTATATATATTTATGTTTCAAGCCACTGAAACATACTGAAACGCCGAAAGCTGAAGATTATGACATGAGGTGAACTTGCATGTGACCTATAGTTCTTCAGTCTACACATGAGAGCGGAGTCCGAACGGAGTCCAAACAAATAGCACCGAACTACCCACTCTTGCCAACTCATCCTACCTACCCTACAAGTCCAAAGATTTAGTAAAACCAGGTCTTTTACCTTCTTATGTATTGGTTTTGTATGACCATCTCCAGTATAATGAGGTCTTTGACTTGTAGGGCTAGCTCTTCACGAAGGCCCTCAGTCAAGGCAGCCAGTCCAAAAGGGAGCTGGCTATGATGCCCGTATGCCCATCGTGGACGTCTATGTCAAACAAACACGCTTGATGCATTGGCTTGGTCAATACCGCTGGGTGCTATTTGGTGGAAAGGCTGGCTTAGCCAGCGGCTACAAAGGTGGCTTCTCTTCGGAGGACGCGCTGCCCGGGCAGTCAAGTGCAATGTGTGTGGTCCAACGTGTCCGATTCCTTCGTTGAAACGGATTTCAGGCGCGCCCAGCCGCTCAGCGCGATGTCCGGGAACTTGGATCAGAAAAAAAAACCGACTGAACAGGATTGATCCAAGTTCCCACCAAATATATTAAAACATATTTCCGGGAACTTGATCACATATTTCAGGGATGTCCTGAAGAGGATTGAGGAAATAAAACATGTGTGAAAACCCAGGACATCCCAGGGCCAGCCCCCACATGTGTAGCAAAAGGCAGGCGCCTCTTGCCAAGCGAAGAAATTCAGGGCATCCTCCCTCCTAAGCTGCGATTGACGTCGTTTCTAAACAAAGTATGTCCACACCACAGCAACCGACAACTCATCTGGCTTTCTCTTTTCTAGGGGGAAAGGCAGCTGTTCCTGAACTCCTTTCATGTCCAACGGTCAGATCGTCATTCCCTCTTCAATGCTTTTTGCGGCAGCCGGGCCAATTCAGTCCAGTTAAAAAGTCGCAACAAACATCACACCTTGATGCCACGAAGCGCCACCTTGATGCCACTGCGGATCTGCGGTTCTCATGGTTCAATCTCTCATGACAGAATCCCATGAACCATCATCCATCATCAGGTCCAGGTCCTCATCTCATCATCCATCATGAGGTCATCACCTTTATTAGGGGGATGTGGTCCTCAATACCTCCAATCTCAGACCTTGTTGACCTTGTTGACCTTGAAGGGGGGGGCCGTTTATTACTCCGGTGTTGGCATTACTGCGTATCCCACATCCATCCTTACAGTCCATCGGCCATGCACCATAGACATAATTCTTGTTGAAAATCCCTCATAGATCTACGCAAACTGAATGACCTTTGAATCTCGTAGACGGCAGTGTTGCCTTACCGTTCAGGAACAACGAACATGCAACTCAGACGACTCGAGGATCTCCTTCCTTCCGAAAGAACAGAATCGGTAGGTCCTAGAGTCAATTGGCTGATCAAGTTGTTGGAGGTCTCCTTCACGAAGCAACGGCTTGAGGTATTGGAGCTGCTAGGGCATTCCTGGGTGCAAATCGCGGAAAAGAGACCTGCCGGAACCTGTGGGGAGAGACTTCAACAATGCATCCCTAAGAGGAAACACATGTCTACTTGAACCTACCAGAATGACTTTCAACTGGAACCCCAAAATCCTTAATGTGAACCAACGCGAAAACAACATGAAGGAAAAATCGACATGGGCCAATGGCGGGATAAGCTTGTCTGCTGCTTGTCGCGTCACAATGCGTCACACAAAAGGATCAATCCAGTGAGCATTACACTGTGGACATGGAAGATAGATATTGCCGACGCCTCCCGTTTGGGGTGGGTGGAAGCATTTGTCTCCCCAAAAAGAGATGATTCGGGGTGTCATTGAACCACCCCGAGAATGACCGTGGGTGCAGACGTATGGGTGAAGAGATAGTAAAAACATCGACATGTCAGTTTTAGGGACTGGGTAGGGACGAAAGTCTTCCTTTTCCAAAAGATCCTCAGTGATTTGTGGTTCATTTCTGCAAGATTCTGGAACTCCAAAACTGCTCTGCAGGCGAATTTAAAACCACGCCACTGTCAACTACCCAATGGTTTAAAGGCCGGCTTTGTTCATGTCTTAATCGAACCCAAATTAATGTTGACACTTAATTAATAAAACACGAATACCATAATGTGTGTCCACCTAGAGGACCAAGTGACATACAAAATTCTAGTACGCAGAAAAAGTAGTACGAATTCTTGAACTCTGGTCGATCTGAAGAAAAGTGGTCGAGCCCCAAAAAAGTTGTCGAATTTATAGGTTCCTTTCTTGGAAAGGATGAGGTTCAGGACCGTTGACCCGTCACATGCAGCGAACGCACATCGAGCTGGTGAACGTCACTTTCCACTTCGTCGATCTTCGTCGGGTCCTAAGCTGCCTTGGCTTTGAGGTAAGAGACATGAAACTCCTTGGCCCACTCTCTTCTGTAGTATCCTAGGCAACGCCTGATCGTGTGACCAGCGCAACTCAACACGTGTGATCTTCTTGACACACGTGAGATTCTTCCTATAAAATCCTCGTCCGTCCACGTGCAGTGGACAGACAAGTTTTCGATGGCCTGACACTGCTCATTGGCCAGGGCATACTGGATGTCAAGCCTCGGGCTGGCTGACAGGGGAAGTCGTATTGGCAACAGCTTTGATCCAAGGTTCTATTCCATATATACCACTTGACTGGTTGTGTTCGATTGCTACTCTTTGGGCCTTGCCCCTAGTGATCCTTAGTGAATACAGCGATGCCAAATCCTATTCAACCACCAAGGGGCAGTAAGTGACAGAACATATGAAGCTTGGGCCGGACATGAAAGCCCATCACTCCACGCCTGGAGCACAGGCTTGCCAAAGTGGCGTACCCATCCTTGGCATGGGTTTAACATGGTTTAACCCATATCATTATTCTCATGTATGGAGAAGCAGAGGAAAGATGTTCTGGCTACCACTCATAACGTAAAAAAGTGTTTCTTTTTGTTGCGGGCGAACTGCAACAAAGGCCCAGCCGTCTCGGACTACAGCTTTGGCCTCCTCTCGGGTCAGCCATATCCCACGTCCATACACAGTTCGCCAGAAGCGGTTGCTCGCAAAGCAACTCCAGTGTAAGACCTCCATGATATCCTTGTAGCCATCCTCCTAGGCGACACACTATAACCAGCATGCCCTCTTTCAAAAACAAGAATGTGTTGCGGCGACAAACCCCGCCTAGCAAATAAGGAACCTAAACCATCTTGGAAATGGATCCAAGCGTCTACCCTGGTGAGGTCCATTTGCTGGAGCTCTTCGCCAAGCCAGGATGACACGACTGCACAGTCGTGGCCTTTGCCCAGACCGCGTGGTGAAGCGCGTAGCCTTGGACAATGGGAGAACAGGAGCTATTAAAGGCACCCCTTTTGGCTTAACCCATGACATTCAAAGATGATCAAAGATGTATAGCTAACAAATCATAAACGGGAAGCGATCCAACTGGCAGCTTGAAGGTTTTGTAGCTGAACTCATGTATGCTAGTCGTTTTTCCACGGGCGTCCACATAGGCCATAAAGCGGGCATATGCATTCTCAAACCTGGCCTCGTTTTTTCCACCTCCAAACCAGCCCATTAACATCAACTGTACAATGGCGCTTGCGCAGTAGTTCTTTCCAATGCCGTCGATGGCAAAAGTGTGTGCTGGGTCGATCCGTATGTATTTGGGGTTCCCAGAAAAGTTTCTGAGATCTTGTAGTGGAGAACGTTCAGCTTTGAAGGGGTTCGGGTTCACATCCGCGGCGTTCAAGTTCTTGACGGCTCCCTTGACATCCCACCAGTCCTCATCAACGGTGATGGCTATTCCAAGCGTGATCATAGTCGGATGCCAACAGCCCAAAAAAAAATAAAATTTAAGGGAGTCTGTAACCATGCCTAGGGTCGCGGAGTTTGCACCGATGACACTTGTCAGAACAGTTGTAGCCGCAATTTAGATTCATGCTGGCCCGTAAGAATGGCCAATCCCCCTTCAGGCTCACCACCTGGAAGTGCCACTTGTAGATCTTGCCATGCCAAAGAACCTGTTGCTTTGAGAAGTCGTCCCAGAAGAGGTTTGCTTGAAGATGTTGCCCCAAACAAGCAACTCATGTAACACCCAACTCAAAAATCTCAAAAAGGGAAAACTTCTAGCATTGTGTCTTGGGACAGTTATCCCATCTTCGCTCATGATGTTGAGGTCAACGACCCAAGCTCGCAGCAAATCAAACAAGGAGGCCCGGGAATATGGGGCAGGAAGGATGCTGTACAATAGGCGTGTGCAAATGCTTGGCCTTAGGCTGCGTAGTGACATAGTGTTAGACATGGGTGGGGGTAGCGTGACAAAACCACCGCACTTACAACAAGGACCGGGTTCTAAACCAATAAGTAAAAACATTGCTCACTTTAAGGCTGAGAGGCCCGGCCATGTTTGTTTTGCCAGGGCGAAGAGGGAGTTGACACTGGACAGACATGACCATAACCGGCTGCTTCAACCGGCCTCTTCCTTCATCCCCGTGTAAGCAAATTGGGATCGTGTTTGTCCACCTTGAAAAGGGCAGGTTGAAGTCAGGATGGTTCTGTGAAAACTTCTGCCAATAGTCGAGCAATTCATTCGAAAATTGGTCTGCGCTGTCGAGGTCTTTCCCCTGCAAAAAGAAATGGCCACCGTTGTTGAAGCTTGTCTCTGCCCAGCTTGAAAGATGTAGGACAGGATGCTGCACTGGAACCTTGTGTGGCCGCCTCCTCGAAAGTCTAAGCTTAGTCGAGACGGTTGAGATTTGAACCGGCAGTCTCTTCCCAAACTTCTTGATGGTCTGATGGAGGTTCCGGCATATATGAGGGTCGGTCTTAGACTTCCCGCATTTTGCAATCTTGGACAAGAGGAGGTCTGCCAAACCTTAGTTATATGTTGAAAAAGAAGAGTGGAACAGCGATGCATGATCCCAACTGTATACGATCAACACTGCATCGACCTTTTTAAGACACGAGATCGGATCATGATTCTAGGCCAAGGGGCCCTGCTTCTGAAGCCGATTGTTGGCAACCGTGGCTAGTCGAACCACCCGTGATGCTGATTCAGCCTCAGCTCAACCAGTGGTTTTGATTGACGGTTATGGTGCAGTTATGTGTTGTTCAAAGGTCAGCTATCGCAGCAACCTTTTTGCCCTTCAGATCGACAGGAAACCCCAAACCTCCACACCACCATGCACAACAAAGGGGCTCCTTGTTCGAAACCAACCAACAGCTCATCTGCCAGGTCTGCATCCTCTGCGCTCAATCCTGACGGCGCGGAGTCCATGTACAGGCTGGGTACGGTATGGATCTAGAGTGGGTGTCCTGGTGCACAATCAGCGCGCCGCTTGATGAAACTTCCACGTGAACAGCCTGCGAGGGGAACTTATAAGACTTGAAGTTGCATGTCCAGCAGTTGATGACGGGTTGATGGTACTGGTTCTAAGTGTCTTTTAGTTTTTTGTCGACCTCGATTCACGCTGCCCCCGTGACATGCGCACATGTCGATCCCCACGGGTGTTGCCATACCATCTACAGCCTGCCACTGGACCTAGTAGGTGAACAGCTAGCTTTGTATAGGCATGTGCCAAAGAACAGACACAAGTACAGATACAGCATGTATACATATATATGTATATATATCTTAATGCGGCTAGATCTTAAGTGACGGCTGCGGGCAACTGATCCCAACACAAATCAAAAATGCCAACTTCTGTTGAGTTGGCCATCTAGGCATCTGCTTTTTCTGCAGACTTGGGACCCTTTTTCGGATTCTTAGCAGGCTTCGCCGGCTTCGCCGTCTTGGGACCCTTGGACTTCTTTCCTTTGGCAGCACGTTTTGGCGCTGGCTTTAGGCCACCAGAACCAGATGCATTGCCTTTGGCTGCTTTGATCGTCCTGCCAGGCAAGCGGAGGCCAAAAAAGCTATACTTTTTGGGCCGGGGTCCTGGCACGCACTGTGAGGTTGTTCAGTGCCACATCGGTTCGAGTGCATGAGGCGCACAACTGTAGCATATCTTTTTGCTGGTCAGGCCTCGCAGCCCAGGTAATTTAAAGAAGTGGCGCTAGTGGTATGCATGTAAGAAACGGGTGAGACATGCATAGACATGCAGAGCCTGGCAACACGTGCCACCGCCACTTCAGCTTGAAGTGCTTCAAGCTTTGAATAGAGGGTCTTCATTGAAGCAGCGTGAACTGAGATTTGGTCGCAGTACCTAGGCTACTGACATTAGCAAACTTCCGGCCACTCCGCTCTGGGCAGCTCTGAGGACATCTCAGGACAGGGCTCCTTTGCTTGCTTCGTCCCAATGGTGTTCAACTTGTCCTGTGGTAGACTAGGGTACCCATATGATTGTGTTCAATGCATGCAAGTGGTATTTTTAGGAGTGGGGCAGTCCAGCAGGGCTTCTGTGGCATCAAGCTTTCTTCCGCACACCGATAGGAATTGGGGAAGGATTGCCATGGGCGAGGTGTTCTCTTGAACGCTC